GAAACCCAGTGGGAGCGCGAACGCATTCACCAACAGGGAATCAGAACTGAGAAAGTGTCAGCGCCTACCAGGCCGCCGGGACCGTGGCTGGCTGAGGACTGGCATTGCATACAGCGCCTACCAGGCCGCAGGGACCGTGGTTGGCTGAGGACTGGCATTGTATATGCATACAGACCATTCGATCTCAGAAGGGTGAGAGCAGCCCTGCATGAAGCCTGGGCCAACACACACACCTGGCATTCTGCTTGCTGAATGTGGCCTAGCACAAGTGGCAGTTTGACCTTCACAATGATGTTCACCCTCTGCCCCACATGGTGGGCGCGTCGCATCCTTGACTTGCGCGATAATCGATTAAAAGTGAGGCAGAAATGTGCGAAGTCTCTCCTCTCATCCTTCTTTCCGCGATAAGTAGGGCAATGTCAAAACAATCAGAGGCGTGGGGATAGGCGCAGTAGATGCGAAAGCTAGTGAAGTCCTCTACGCATGCTGCACCTGCAACCTGGTCCGCATTCCAGATGCGCCAGACAACTGGAAGAAGCCATTGCAGCCTGGCTTTCAGTCCTGAGAAAGACTGGGTTATCCTGTTCGGGGAAAAACTTCTAAGATAATGCCTCGTTATCGCAACGTCGTCTATGCAGGATCGTCAGCCTTATTATGATGTAGAGTTCGTCGGCTTGTCGTGGTAATGGATTTTCCAGTATCTACCTCATGCTCTCTTCCGTGCACCAGTCAGCAATCGGAGTCCATCAATGAACGGTTGCTGGAAGTAGGCGCAATGGCCGGTGCGATTTGAAGGCCGCTCGTGATAACTCCGCCCTGCCTCACAAGCAGGTGCTATGAGCCAGTTTGACTCTTGCTTTGGTCCATCCCATTTGCTGCGAAACCTATCGTGGAGACATGGTGTGTGCGACACTGACACAACCACAAAATCTTCCAGTTCCAAAGTTGCGAGGATTCCCACCAGAGAAGTCAGAAGGGTAGTTAGCGAGCATGCGCAGGTTTTCGATAATTTCTCGTCGGGCCAGTATATTTATATGAAATGGGGTACAAGTTAAAACGTGTTCGTTTTTTCGTACAAGCGAGTTCTGGAAGTAGGGGGAAGGGGTCCATAAGAGAAGGCTAGTTATGAGAGTAGGGTTTGGTGGAGCCGGTCTAGCGGAGGGTGACATACAGACAGCGCGGACGGTTGCATGCCGCTAAGTGACTATAGGCCACACCAGACATCAGTTCCACCCATTTCTAGTGGAATGTCCAAGTTAGATTGACTCTTGGTGAGCTTGGGTTCCCTGGCTTGCCCGGCGCTTGTGCTCCCATATGCTGATCTCTCAGTGGACTTGGCTCAGCCCTTGGAATCCCAGAAGGCTATCCGCAAGGTTGGTTAGCAAAAACTTTCATTAAAAAGGAACCATCTGAGACATTATACCATTAGTTGACTAGTCTTCACGCCGTAATATTTATGAACCAAGGTGGTTCACATGCACGACAGTTGAAGTCTTCTCTCCCTCTCTGGTCCATTCAGTTACGTAAACACCTGCTGCCAGAGTAAACAGTTAGGACGTTACAGGCCGACTGAATTACTGGGTTCTCCGGACCGACTGAGGGCAAAACGACAATGGCTTCTTCTTACTGCGGCCTTTATTTGCATCCTCACTGGTTTGAAAACCGAACTGTTCTTACTGTAGTCTAATACATCTGCATTGGGGACTAAATCGTGTGTGTAGGCCGCGTAGAAGTGTTCTTGCCAACCCATGTCCACATACTCACCTCCGGTCCTCATGACAGTGTCAGGCCATCGAGCGAGATGGTTGAGAAAACAGAAAGTGTGGTATTTTCTGCGGCCACTCCACTGGGCACCCGATAAAGGTCGTCATTTTAAGAGGATCAGACTGTCATCATGCTTTCCCATTTGGTTGGCCGTGATAATTTACACACACTAGCCGTTTTTAAAGACGGATTGGGAGCACGACTTCCACCAGGTTTTAAACGTAACATTGTACTGATATCAGTCTTTTCGTTATGCTTATTCCCGCGTGTGCTTCTCCGTCTGATCCTACATTATTTTACTGCCATTTTCAGCTGCTGAAGCCGCAAGCGCTTGCCTACCTCTGCCCCCACCTTAGCTCCATTAATGGCGAGGAATTTCACGAGGAGGCCTCAGAAGAT